TAATATGCTGGGCGAGAGGTTACTTTATGTTAATAATTATAGCGGGTCTATATGATGTGATGTGATAGTAATGTTGTAAGGGATTGGAGACAATGATAATATAAGTAGCTAATAGTTATTGAAAATTGGTAGAAGTGATTATATATATATATATATAGGTAACTATACTCGTTTCGAAAAACCTTCGAATTTTTGATTTGCCAATAACCAAATCAATTTCGAAAGAAAAAATGTTTAAAAAAAAAGAAAGAGCTAGAAACATGAAAGTCTGTCGAAAAAATTGCACAGATGCAGGTTTGAAACCCAAAGAAAAAAACCCGACACGAGTAAACAACTAACTAACTAAAGAGCTCAGTACAACCGTAGAGCAGACCTAGATAAACCTAGTGAGCCAGACAAACCTACCCAGGTTTCACCTAAAAGGATCGTCAGGCAGAGCTGGAAGAAAAATTTAAATATTCATTTCGGTTATAATTTATTTATGGAATATCTATATTCAACTCTTCAGGCCGAAAACTTTTAGTAAATAGATACAACACTCCATACAGGTATATTAGATTGACAGGGGAGGAGGAAAGTAAAAGAGAAGAGAAGAGAGAAGGCGACAGAAGAAGAAACGTAACGGATAGTCAGGTTCTTTTAAAAAGTATACATCGGCAAGAGTCATAGATTCAACTACATCTGAAGAAACACAAAAAAAACACGAAACAGTGTGATAGGCAATATCAACACAAATCCGCACATACACATATAGATACACACACATATATACATACATAAATACATAGACGGATAAAAGGGATTACATAAATTTAAATGCAGTACAAGCGCCAGTTCGTGTGAGTCTATAGATATATTCTTTCTTGCTTTCTTTTTCTTTCATTTTTTGCTTCTGTACTTCTCTATTTTTTAACTACAGTGTAAGCCGGATATAAGAGACCCGGATATAAGAGAAACCTGGATATAAGAGAGATTTTCTCTGGTCCCAAATTAGAGCCTGTGTTAATGTATATAAATAGACCAAACCCGGATATAAGAGAAACCCGGATATAAGAGACTTCTTCTCCAGTCCCGACAACTCTCTTATATCCGGGTTACACTGTAGTTACATTTTAAACTTACTTTTTAAGCACTTTTCTAGACATATATATATATATATATATATATATATATATATATTTCTGCTTCTTTCTTTGCCTTTCTCTCTCTGAGAAAACAAGAAAAAAGAAAAAGAGGAGATTTAAAGTAATTTCCTCTTTTTCTTTTTTCCTACATTCTTATCTCTTCTCACTCTCTTCATCTAAATCTTCTCTTTTCCTTTTTCCTTTTTCATTCTTTCTTTTCTCTCTCTTCCTTTATATCTTTCCTTTTAGGTTTTCCTTCTTTTTTTCTTTTCTTACTCTTTAAATCTCCTCTTTTTCGTTTTTCTTTTTGTTCTTTTTCTGTCTTTCATTAAATCTTCTCTTTTCTTTTTTTCTTTTTTTCCTTCTTTTTTTTTCTTGCCTCTCTCTTTCTCTTCATTTAAATATATTTTCATTTTTTTTCTTTCTCTTCTTTTCTCACTTTTCCATTATATCTTTTTCTTTTTCCTTCTTTTTTTTTATTTTCTTTTTTTCTCTCTTCCATGAATTCTTCTCATTTCCTTCTTTCTTTTCATTTTTCTCGCTTCTCTTCTCTTTTCCTTTTTTGTTTTTATCTTATCGCTCACTTATTTTCTCTTTTTTTTCCTATCTCATTTTCTTTTTTCTCATTTTCATTAACTCGTCTGTTTTCATCTCTTCCTTGTTCTTTTCTTTTCTCTCTTCCTTCCTTTAAATCTTCACTTTTCCTTTCTTCCTTCTTTTCTCTTTTTTCCTTTTCAATTTTGTTTTCCTTTCATTCTTTTATTTTCGTTCTCTCTTCATTTATATGTACACTTTTTTATTTTTCCTTCTTCCTTTTCTTTTTCTCTTTTACATGAACTGCTCTCTTTTCCTTTTTTACTTTCTTTCTCTCTCTCCCCTTTAAATCTTTTCCTTCTATTCATCTTTATTTTCTCTCGCTTCCTTTAAATCTTCTTTTTTCATTTCTTCCTTTTCTTTTTCTCTCTTTCCATAAATCTCTTCTTTTCCTTTTTTTACTCCTATTCTCTCTCCCCTCTTTTACATCTTCTCTTTTCCTTTTTTTCTTTCTTTCTTTATTTTTTTCATATTTTCATTACATCTTCTCTTTTCTTTTTCGTTCTTTCTTTTCTTTTCTCTTTCTTTCTTTCTTCTTTTAAATCTTCTCTTTTCCTTTTTCCTTCTTTCATATCTTTTATTTATTTTTTCTCTCTTTCCATAAATCTTCTCTTTTCCTCTATTCTTCTTTTCTTTCTTTTCTTTTTCACACTCTCTTCTTTTAAATCTTCTTTTTTCCATTTTTCTTCTTTCTTTTCTTTTCTCTCTCCTCATTTAGATCTTCTTTTTTTTCTTTTTCCTACTTTCAACCCTTTTATTTCTTTTTCTCTCTTTCCTTAAATCTCCTCTTATTCTTTTTTTACTTCTCTTCTCTCTCTTCTTTTAAATCTTCTCTTTTCCTTTTTTTCCCTTTTTTTTTCTTTTTTCATATCTTTTACTTATTTTCTCTCTTTTCTTAAATCTCTTTTCATTTTTATTTCTTTTCTCTTTCTTCTTTTAAATCTTTTCTTTTCCTTTTTTTTACTTCTCTTCTTTCTCTTCATTAATATCTTCTCTTTTCCTTTTTTCCTTCTATCATATCATTTATATATATTTTCTCTCTTTCTTGATATCTCCTCGCTTCTTTTTTTACTTCTTTTCTCTCTCTTCTTTTCATTCCTTTACCTTTTTCCCTTTTACTTTCTTACCTTAATTTTTTCTATCTTTCCTTACACTTTTCTTTTTTTTTCCCTTTGTATTCATCCACTTCATTCCTTTTTGTTTCTTTCAATTTTAATATTTTAACGTTTATTTTTTTTCTTTCATTTTTCTTTTGCTTCATTTCCTTCTATTTGTGGCTGCTGTTGTCCTAAACGGACACCATAAGATACGCTAAAAGAGAGTATGGGAAAGGTAGATATAGTCGAGCAATTTTTTTGTAATCTCTGGGGTGATATGTTCTTTTGTGAATCCACTTCTGAAGGTATGGACGTAAACATTGACAAAGGGAGATAATTGAGGATTTACCTAGTGATGATCAAACATATGGTCTATGAGACGTACTTAATAACTATCATATTTCGACAGGAGACTTTTTTGTAGACATTAGCATACGGTTCCAAAATTGCAGTACTCGTGAGGATTAAAGAACTGATCTGAGAAATTCGATTACTAAATGGCAAGAAAAAGAACACTTCAGAAAGAGAAAGCTGAAATTTCTTGAACACATAATGAGGAAGTAGTGTTTGGCGATCTTAAAATTAACAGCCCATGTTGAGGTCAAGAGATATAACGAAAATCATCGAGCAACATAGCTAACGAACTTGTGTAAATTTATGCCGAAACGCGGTCGATTGGCGGGGCGTGTTGTCATTGTAAATGGGATAAAACCTCTTAGGGTTTTAAGAGATAGAAGGTTTTGGAGAGCCATGATCGCCCATATCCAGAAGAGACGTGGCACATAGAAGAATTAACGTCCTGCTACGGCAGATGTCCTTGTAGATACACAAATCTTATAAGTTTGACACAAGACTATAGAGAATTATTAAAAATGCTAAAGAGAGAGAAAGAATTTTAACTAGGCAAAATAAACCACATCAAAAAAATAGAAATAAAAGTTATGAAATTATATATGTATTATGAAATATTTTTTTCGGAATTTTTTTCGAAATTTATATATTCTGTTTACATTTGCTTAATTTCTATCGTTATTTTTCAGTTCTTTCTTTGTTTCCATTGTTTTTTCTTTATTTTTTTCTATTTTTGATTTTTCTTTCTTATTTTGTTCCTTTCTTTTGTTTTTTCTTTCTTTCGGTTTTTCTTTCTTATTTTCTTCATTTCTTTACAAAGTTTTTTTCTTTCTTTCGGTGATTTTTTTTCTTCTTTTTTTTCGTTCTTACGGTTTTTTCTTTCTTATTTCCTTTCTTTCTTTCTTCCCTTTTTTTCCAATATTTCTTTCTTATTTTCTTTCTTTCTTACGGTTTGTCTCTTATGGGGTCCTCCCCTTTTCATATAAGTGGACTCTACCAGTGTACCTGGACTGCTGCCGTTAAATACCCAGAGCAGACAGTCAGTGAGAGTAGTCAGATAGAGAGAGGATATACGGGGACAGTCAGAGAATATACGAACGGAGATAGTGTGAGGCAACCTCTTGTAGAAGTCAGTTACAGAGCAAGTAGACTCTAAGGAAGTCCTACTTCGAGACTGTATATATCTATCTGTATTTGCTACTAACCGCGTTCCTGGACTTACTAACAGTATTACTCTTTGTATGATTGTGTAAATACATTTTATTTCTTATATTTAATTATTGCGTTTGTCATTCCTTGGAGACCGAATTCATCTCTGAATCCACAACATTTTCTTTCTTATTTTCTTTCTTTCCATTGTTTTTCCTTCTTTTCTTTCTTTCTTTCTTTCCATTGTTTATTTCTTATATTATTTATTTCCGTTTTCTCTTTCTTGTTTTCTTGCTTTCTTTCCATTGTCGCTTTCTTTTTTTTCTTACTTTCTTTCTTTCCTTCATTTCTTTCCTCTTTTTCCTTTTTTCGCTTTATCTTTTCTTCATTTTGATATTGTATTCTTTCTTTATTCTATTTTTCTTTAATTTCATTCCTACCATATTTCTTTCTATTTTATTTCTTCTATTTCTTTTGTTCCTTTGTTTGTTTTTTCTATTTCTCATTTCCTTCTTTTACCTTTCTTTTTTCTTTCCTTCTTTGTTTCTTCTATTCTTTCTTCATGCTTTCTTTCTTTATTACCTGTCTTTCTTTACTTCATTTCTTACTCTTTTCTTTTTTCTCTTTCTTTCTTTCATTACTTTCAGTCTTTCTTTACGTCATGCCTTACTATTTTCTTTCTTTCTTTCTATATTTCTTCCTTTCTTCCATTTTCCTTCTTTCTTTTTTCTTTCTTTCTGACTTCGTAGATCTTTTTTTATTATCTGACTTCCTTTACTCCATTTCTTACTGTATTGCTTTCTTCTTTCTTTCTTTCTTTCTTTCTTTCTCTCTTTCTTTTTTCTTTCTCTCTTTCTTTTTTGTTTCTTTTCAGTTTTTCTTTCCAGTCATTGTTTATGTCATGCTTTACTATTTTCTTTCTTTCTTTCTTTCTTTCATTCTTTCTTTCCTTCTTTCTTTCTTTCATTAATTCTTTCTTTCTTTCTTCGTGCTTTTTTCATTATTATCTGTCCTTCTATACTCCATTTCTTACTGTTTTCCTTTTTCTTTTCTTTCTTTCTTTCTCTCTCTCTTTCATTTATTTCTTTCTTTCTTTTCAGTTTTTCTTTTCAATTTTTCTTTATGTCACGCCTATTTTCTTTCTTTCATTCATTCATTTTTTCTTTCTTTCATTCAATCATTCTTTCTTTCTTTCATTCATTCATTCTGTCTTTCTTTCATCTTTCTTTCCTTCTTGCTTTCTTTCATCTTTCTTTCTTTCTTTCTTTCTTCGTGCTTTTTTCTTTATTATCTGTCTTTCTTTACTCCATTTCTTACTGTTTTTCTTTTCCTATTTTTTCTTTCTGTCTGTCTGTCTGTCTGTCTTTCTTTCTTTCTGTCTTTCTTTCTTTCTTCGTACTTTTTTCATTATTATCTGTCCTTCTATACTCCATTTCTTACTGTTTCCTTTTTCTTTTCTTTCTTTCTTTCTTTCTCTCTCTCTCTTTCTTTTATTTCTTTCTTTCTTTTCAGTTTTTCTTTTCAGTCTTTCTTTATGTCACGCCTTCTTTCTTTCTTTCATCTTTCTTTCTTTCTTTCTTCGTGCTTTTTTCTTTATTATCTGTCTTTCTTTACTCCATTTCTTACTGTTTTTCTTTTTCTTTATTTCTTTCTTTCTTTCTTTCTTTCTTTCTTTCTTTCTTTCTTTCTTCGTGCTTCTTTCCTTTATTTTCTTCATTTCTTTTTCCTTTCGTTCGTTTTCTTTCATTTTACTTTCTCCTTTCATTCCTTCATTCTTGTTTTTTTTTTCTTTTCTTTCCATTCCTTTATTCTTGACAAAGTCTATATTCACTGATGAATGTAATAAATACCCTAATGCCAACCAAGTGAAGTGAACTTCCCTTCCGCCTCATCTCGTTCCGCTAATTCATTTCAGCTTATCAATCAAGCTGATTGATTTCCTTATCTGTTGAACCTTGAAATATATTTTTAATGAAAGTTGCAACACTCGGACAGCTTACATGAATCTTTCAAGACGACCTCACTATTTATTCTTGATGTAATCATCCCATTTCCCTCAGCAACATTTCTTATAATTCGTGACCATTGACAATCCATTTCTTGCGGATTCTAAACGCATCTTGATCGTTTAGCAATGAATTTACATTAGACACACAAAGAGTGACAAGAAAGGAAACGCGACTCTATCAATAAAATATTTGTTTGTTGAAATAAGAATACTACTTAGTCTTATATTTAGAACAATCGCCGGACTAATGAATGCAATTCTGCATTCTTCACCGTCACGCCTGGAAGTACACTTCAAAACGCATCGTTCATGAAGCAGCCATACACAAATGGGACCTTTTTCAAGACAGATTTAAAGTTCAGTATCTGTCTATATTTCCGAGATGAGGTATTATGTACACTATTTACATTATTCGGACTATTGTCCCCATCCTTGTCAACATATTTATTACAACGTTTTGGCTGTTGTACGCTCCAGCCTTCTTCAGGTGGTTGGAATATCGAAATAAACCCTTTATTTCGCTCACTGGGGTAGACATAGTCTGCATAATTATCAGACGTCATTGTAGGCGAAGTATTTGTTAATAAAATTTGCTGTTTTGTTTACTTTTTTTTAATAATAAATATTTTATTCTCAGGTTATAAAAATGCGTGTTGATAATCATACGCTTCGGAATAATCATTTAAAATGTTATTGTTGAAATGTTATATTTGTTTTTTCATTATAAATATTGTTTAGAAAACGCCTGATAATTATGCACCAATCCTCTCTCCATAAATATTAAAATAACTTTGATAATAACGAAAAATTAATTGCTACCTCTTCTAAGTTTTTCATAATGATCTTTTGAAATCGTCTAAAGAATTTTTGGACACCCTGTATTTTGAATCTTTCCTTGCAACGTGTGTTGCATATTATTTTGGCGCATCTGATAATAATTGCAATTCTTATACAATAATATTCACTTACAATTCCCAAGAGTCACTCAAGCCAGGTGGTTACAGAATAAGACGCAATGTTTGTAGTGATATGTGGATAAAATAAATGTTAAGTTTAGACTTGAACAGTTTAGGATAACAGCGATCGGGTTTGGTTTGATTTGGTTTGGTTTGTTTTACGGCATATCAACCTCAATGGGTTATTTAATGCTGACAAGTAATATTTTCCCCCAAAATGTATTGCTGGTAATATTTTTTGGTTCAAAAATATATTGCTGGTAGTATGCTTTTTCCAAAAAAAAGTATTGACGGCAATAATATATTGCTGGTAATAATGTCTTGCTGGCAATAATTATTTCTTCCAAAATTAAGTGCCGGTAATAATTTTTTTACAAAATGTATTACTAGTGTTAAATCCTAATTTTACACGTATTACTGGTGTTAAAACCTATTTTTACACGTTTTGATCCATATTTGGGGGTTAACTATTTTCCCATAGCTGGAGTGCTGACTGGTGATATCACCCCGTGTCAGGGTGGAACTGGGAACACCAGCATTTAAAAGTTGGTTCCATGATCCTCAAGTGCTCATTGCTGTCGGATGTAGTTTATCGTCTTACGCAGGATGCATGTGTAGTTTAACGTCATAAAACGGAACGGGGTTCGGGAAATCATCATCTTAGGAATAAGATCACAAAGCAGCGGGTCGTGGGAAGAAACTGTACAAGTGGAACTTACATCTCACCGCTGGATTAAGAAGGTAATGATGGTGGTTCGTTACAATGCTAGACCTGGAGGACATAACAAGTCGATCTACATACTTTTAAAGATTATTCTTGACCTAATGAATTACTATATGAATACTCTAAATCCGCACCAAATTTCTTCAATATATATATATATATATATATATATATATATATATATCCGAATATATAAATATATATATATATATATATTTGTTTATATATATATATATATGTATATATATATTTATTTAATATATATATATATATATATATATATATATATTATATATATATATATTTGTATATATATATATTTGAATATATATATATATATTTGTATATATATATATATATATATAGATATATATACATATATATATATGTATATATATATATATATATATATAAATATATATATATATATATACATATATATATATATATATATATATATATATATATATATATATATATATATATATATATATGGGGATATATAATTTAATGATATTTTTCTTAAAAATATTTTATATTTCGACATGACATTACTATGTTTCGAGACAATGATTTTTTATCTCGTCATCAGACAATGTTTGGTTACTTTGATATAAATGTAAATCATTTTCCCCCAAGTTACCGAACATTGCCTGATGACGAGATAAAAAAAACATTAATAAACATCCAAATTTCCAAATCTCCACAATATAAAATATTTTAAATAAATATCATTAAAATAATCTGAGCATCTCTACGCTTTTGCAAAGAATAAATTCCTGGGATATATATATATATATATATATATATATATATATATATATATATATATATATATATATATATATATATATATAGGTGACAGTGTTAAATTCTGCGTCCATATATATATATATATATATATATATATATATATATATATATATAGGTATACAGTGTTAAATTTCTGCGTCCATATATATATATATATATATATATATATATATATATAAAGATATATATAATTTATATATATATATATATATATATTTGCACGATATACAGATATATATATATATATATATATATATATTTATATATAACCCTATCCATATATACATTTATATTATATATATATATATGCGTCTATATAACATTTAATATATATATATATATAATGTTATATATAACATTTAATATATATATATATAAATTTATATATATTTATATATATATATATATATATATATATATATATATATATATATATATATATATATATATATATATATATATATATATAAACCAACCACTTACGTTATGTAGCTCAATCTATATAAATAGCGTGGACATAAAATTTAACATTGTCACCGTTATATATATATATATATATATATATATATATATATATATATATATATATATATATATTTTATTTTTAAAAATTATAACATAAGTATGTTATAAAATCACTAAAAAATAGCCATTTTGTTTCAACACACTCAGTGTCTTATCAAGTGATGATGTTGAAGATAAAATAAATGGTTTTAAAAGTTTCTTATTAATTAACGATCCTACACTAGGGGGAAACATTGTTACAAAAGCTAGAATAACCAATCAAACGCCAATATATAAAGATTCAAAAGCTTGACAACGAAATCATGTTATAATAGCTATTCAGATATTTAAAATACGTGTAACATTAAAAATATTTTATACTAACCAATAATTATAAAGTTATATGATAAAATTTAATATTAAAATTAAAAACTGGCAATTTTAAAATCCAAATTTACTCACTATTAAGTTTAAAAACTACAAAATTATTGAGAAAAGAAAAATTATATATGTTTATTCAATTTATTTCTTCGTTGAAATTACGTTCGACAAGACGCTACAATATATTCGGTCATTTGACAATACATGTATATATATATTTTTATTCTAAAGTGTGTGAATGTGGTATTAAACTCTCGCGCAAAACAACAAATACACAATCAGATTATAATACATAAGCACCCAGACATATTTAGATATATATATATACACACACAAAAAAAAAAGGGAAAGAAAGAAAAGGCGACGAGACAGGAACATCACTACAACCCTTTATGAAAAAAGGAAACGGGGAAACCAACACCTATACACACACACAATTAAATGTGAATACACTCTACATACACTTAGACACCGATAGATACACGTACACACATCCACAGACAATGACCTAGACAATCAGATACCACAACCAATAAATATTTAAGACTTAAAGTATCATTAAATAAATGTTAACCACTTATTAAATTATAACTTAAGGGAGCAAATATACAAAGATAAAAATGGTATTAAATAATATTATTTAATATATTAAAACGAAACTTCCAAAACCACAAATATCAATAAAAATATATTTTAATCATATAAGTTGATAATAGTCTCATTATATATTAGGCAAAGAAAAACAGGATAAAGAAACCCACAGAAATAAGTGTACATTCATATGCATATACATATATATACACGCGGCAGCAAACACAATTTAACACACATAAACATACACTCATACATACATATACATACAGAAATACATACATATAAATATATAAACATAAACATATACGCACATATACATATCTATGATAACAAGTACACATGCACACACATATACATATAAACATAAATACACACATATATACACATATTTTTATGCACACATACTCAAATATATAAAAAATATGCCCAATATACATACATGCACCAATACATATATGAACATGTATATACACATAGACTAACTACTGTGGCAGTAATGACATACCAAAGTTTCCATACCCACACATACACACAAACAAACTCATACATAATAGGTGCCAACACACACATATACATCCACAAACATACATAAATATATATACACACATACATACATATCTACAAATAAACATATATATAAATATATCTATCTACAATAACCAATATATACATGCATACATATAAATACAACAACACTCAACCAAATACATATATAAACGTACTAACATATACATACATAAATATACATTCAAATACCAACACACACCAATATACATATACCCTAACATACAAATATATAAACACATTCATACAAACAGAAATATACTTAAATATAAATATACATACACAATAAAATAGGACACATACAGATATATACATATATACACACACAGATATATATATATACACATACATATACACATACATATACATATATATACAGATATATCGTGACACAAAGCCGAAATTAGGGGGCACCCAGTGAGGAACGAACTCACTACTCAATCGCAATTGATCTAGCGAACCATGCTCGCCAACCATTATACCGCCGCGGGGTGCTCATACATACACACACACACATATATATATATATATATATATATATATATATATATTATAAATTAATTGATTTAAAATATGTTTTTTTTCGCTACACAGTTCCAACCATGTTTCAAAAATAGAAGCTAAAAACTGTTCTTTCTTTTTATTTATACACACACACACACACACACATATATATATATATACACACACGCATACATACCTATACACACATACATACATACATATATATATACAAATATATATATATACATATATATATATATAATATATATATATATATATATATATATATATATATATATATATATAATAATGGTGACAGTGTTAAATTTTGCGTCCAAGCTATTTATATATATTGTAACTACGTAAGTAGCTGGTTTATATATAACATTTAATTATGGCTTCGGATTTGTTCTTCTTCACTGTGGTTACCCTATCAAGGTTAAAGAGCAATATTTATTTACTATTTTTCCCAAAGTTTGTGAAAATCAATGGATGAACCTATGCGTTTCCCAAAAGTTTTAGAGTGAAATGAGCTCAAGAGCCTCGACGGGGAACTGAACTTTATCTTCTTTTCTCGCGTCGATATCCATTATCCGCACGCACGCACACACACATGTATTTCCAAAGGAATATTGTGTTTTCAAATTTATGAATCTGACATATTTTTATCACTTTAAACGTTATTTTTTAGCGGATATTATTTTTTAATTCTTTTCAGGTATTAACTTTGAGTTTTCTGATTTCTGACTCATCAGAACTTCGGATAAAACTCTATTACGAGTATTTCTCTCTCTCTCTCTCTCTCTCTCTCTCTCTCTCTATTTATATATATATATATATATATATATATTTATATCTATCTATCTATCTATCTATCTATCTAATTCTCTCTCACTCCACTATCTATCTATCTATCTATCTATCTATCTAACTCTCTCTCACCCTACTCTCTCTCTCTCGCTATATCTATCTATCTATCTATCTATCTATCTATCTATCTCTACTCCACTTTCTCTCTCTCGCTATCTACCTAATTCTCTCTTATCCCACTCTCTCTCTCTCTCTCGCTCCATCCATCTATCTATCTATCTATCTATCTATCTATCTATCTATCTATCTATCTAATTCTCTCTCACATTCACTCTGTCTCTCTCGCTATATCTATCTATCTATCTATCTATCTATCTATCTATCTATCTATTTAATTCTCTCTCATCCCACTCTCTCTCTCTCTCACTATATCTATCTCTCTTTTATGCATAATTATTATAATAGTGAAAACGACCACTTAAAATACCACCGTCATATTTATTTCATTAGAATTGAAAAATCGATTCCAACTTTTCAGACTGAGTCTTACACACAAATATAAGCGGACAAGGATTTTACCAGGTTTCAAACCCGAATCAGAACATATATTATGTTAAATATGTCTATTCAAATTCGGGTTTGAGTAGGGAAAGAAAGGGCATGTATTCAGAAAGGGAGAAGGTAAATGATGGAACAGTGGAAATATTCAAACCTAAGAAACGAAGAAAGATTTATTTGAGTTGTTCAAAGAGATAATAGAGATTATAATAACTATTCCTATGGGTTGGGGGCTGAAACTGATAGTTTAATATATAAATTGCTTTAATAGCTACACAGATATCATGGGAAGACCGATCGTTGATAGTATATTTCAAATTTTAATTGGACTGTCGAAATGAGTGGCACTCCCATATTTTGCGAGTTATCTTGTAACCTTACTTGTATATTGCCTGTGGAACTTCTGATCCTTAAAGTTCAGGCACATATCGATTTGGAACCTTTGCCTCGAATCTTTGTCGAGCATGAAGAGATTTCTAATTAATATTAGACTATCAGAAGCTGTTTACGTAATCGCCATTAAACAGAATATGAAATGGCGTAAGGTAATGAAGACACGAACGTCAGAAAATGGCATAAAATACTCTGCTCCGATATATATATATATATATATATATATATATATATAACATGTGAAAATATATAGAAAATAGGAAGGAACAGGTTAGGTAAATAATCCAAAGTCCTTAGTATTTTTAGTTATTATTTTTTAAAAAAATAGTGCTCGATACAAAAGTAGAGCATAAATATAATATATAATTATATTATATATATATATATATATATATATATATATATATATATATATATATATATATATTTATAATTATATTATATATATATATTATATATATATATATATATATATATATATATATATATCCACAGGAGTTTGGGTGGGAATGGAACAAATAAATCTTATCCTCAAGAATATATCAAGAGGATATCAATCTATATCTCTGAGATGAGATATTATGATTACTTGTATTATTTACATTATTCGAACTGTTATCCTCATCTTGCCATATTCACAACGTTTCGGCCGTGGTACATTCCGGCCTTCTCCAGGTGATTTGAATTTCGAACCGAGTCCTTTATTTCGTCCACCGGTGTAGATTGTTCTAATTCCGCGTGCCAGACCTCATCCATGTTTCAGTTATTTCCCTTTAACTCTCCAATATTTTTAGTTCATCCCTGCTCTGGCCTGCTATTGAACTTTCAACGCATCAGGTCTAGTCACTGAATCTATCCAACGTCTTTATCCACGTTTTTATATATATATATATATATATATATATATATATATATATATATATATATATATGTAGAAAATTAGAAATAAAACTCAAGCAGAAAAGTTAAAAAATATATATTATTTATTATTATTGCAATTTACCGATTCCTTTCAGGACGTGGTCGATCATGACTCTCCATAACTACCTCCCTCTAGTGTTCTTGCCTTCAATATGCCTTGTGAGTGTCGACATTTCCAAGCATGTTTTCTCATAAATTTCAACTGTCTCTTTCGAGTTGTATGTGCTCTGAATAAAAAATCAGAATGTCTGCCTCGTTACCTTCTCTTACGCGCAAATACCCTGGGTAACATTATGAAATCACTGATTTCCCTCCCACGAAATTAGCACAGAGTGAAATCCCCAGCCTTGGTTGCTACCAGTCAAGGATAAGGACAATTCTGATTTCAAATCTATATGTATCCCTGGCTTAGCTGATAGTAGGCATCTGAGAAAAGAATAGCGGTGTATAAAATAACTCAGGAGACTCGGTTAAAGTACACATACTTTCCTTTCTTTTCTGCAAAGCCAAATTCCGATATTCATTTCTATTTCGCTTAAACATCCTTATTGGTCACATATTGTGTCCATGGCATTCTTATTTTCTTTCTGTAGAATCACATCTCTGTTGCCTCAAATCTGTAATGCAACTGTCCATCCTTCAGTGCCATATATCAAGACTGAAATTACGTAAGTGTTCAGAAAGATTTTCTTTTTCTTTAAAGGATTTTCTTTTGTTTCTCGCACGTTTTTTACTGTTTGGAAAACCTCTTTTGGTATTTCAGTGCACCTTCGTATTTCTGTATCCCAAATATATGTGTTCAATGTCATAAAACAGGAAGTATTGAGTATATCTATCTATCTATCTATCTATCTATATATATATATATATATATATATATATATATATATATATATATATGTAATTATTTATTTAAAATTATGACATAAATATATTATAAAATCACTACAAAAATAACAATTTAGTTTCAACACCTCCTGTGTCTTATCAAGTGATGATGTTGAACATCATCACTAGTAAGACACCGGAGGTGTTGCAACAAAATGGCTATTTCTGTAGTGATTTTATAACATATTTGTGTTGTAATGTTTAAATAAATAATTATATCTGCTCTACTCTGTATTGAGCACACTTTTAAGAATAGTAATTGTTGGTTATTGGAATTTATTCCGTATATACCAATCCTATACTTGGGTATATATATATATATATATATATATATAGATAGATAGATAGATAGATAGATAGATAGATAGATAGATAGATAGATAGATTTTAGTAAAGAAAATCTTGCTAATCCGTATGGATAATTCAAAGGAGGATGAAATTAAATAACTATCAAACGTTAAGATATGTGTTTATCTAGATTGCTAAAGCTATACTACCTTTCTCCTTCCTGAAAATCTTTACGTCCATCTCTTATTTCTTACCTCTTTACTTCCCTCCTTTTTCTTTTCCCCTTTTCTTTTTTTCTTTTCTCCTTCTTTCCCATATCATTTCCGGTAAGCTTACTGAGTAAATAGGTCAATGTCTGATCCCTATCCCCTCCTCCTCAATATTAAGTATTATAATGAAAAACTGAATTTTAAAACACTCCCTCCCTCTCTAAACTCTCTCATATCTCTCACACTATTCCTCACCACCCTCTATGTTCACCTTATATAGGGTTAATACTGCCCTTCAAAACAGTACATTTTAAATTTATTTTTTCAACTTTGAAGATCCAGAGAAAATTAAAATCTCTGGTGAAATAAATTATAACTAATGGAACCTTGAAGTGGTTTGTTTCTTCTTTAAATTTATATATATATATATATATATATATATATATATATATATATAAAACTCAAACACTAATATTCCATGGTTAAATTTTTTATAAAATTGGAATCGTAATAACGATCCAATTCATCAGACCTCCATTACATTCACTTACGGGCTAATACCCTTGGGAAAGGTATGAAAACCTTTCTTCTCCCCCCAGCTATGGGTAAATGGCAGAACAGAATGGGTTCTATAGCCTTGGATGGCAACTGGTCTAGGAGAAGGACAACTCTGAATTTAAAACCTGCGCATGTTCGTTTTGGGACCTTGTGACACATAGTGCACTAGTTTTCTGTATTTGACCCTTCACAAAGTGTGCATGATTCTGCAAAAAAATTCGCCACTATAATCAAGTCTCATGTGCTGGTGTCGGGCTGTTGCTTCCTAGAAACAGATCTGCTTTACTTTCGTACCATCGAATGAGAATGTCGGGTATATATATATATATATATATATATATATATATATATATATATATACAGACAGCGTGTTTCACAGATCATCAGGGCTTTAAGCCTGGATCAAATTGATCAAACCGAGATCGATTACTTCAAACCGGGATCGAAACTCGACTGTTTTGAACAATAAAAATATAAAAAAATTAAAATCTTCAGACACACTGGATTGTAGATTAATATTCTTTCGTGTTTTTTTAATTTTTTTTTTATTAAGATTCCTCGACTAGTTTCGGCTAAAATGGCCATCATCAGGAGAAGAAATATTTCTGCTTGCTGGTAGAAGTGAACTACAGAAATGAATATAAATGAATACATAATACCTCATCTCAGAAATGTACACTATTTACATTATTGGGACTATTGTCCTCATCTTTGTTGCCATATTTTTACAACGTTTCGGCTGTTGTACACTCCGGCTTTCTTCAGATGGTTGGAAAGTCGAACCTAGCATTTATTTCGCCCACTGGGGTAGACTGTTCTAGTTCCACATGGCATGTTTCATGAATGTCAGTTATCAGTTATCTCCTGTTAATTCCCCTCTGCAAGTTCTCCACTGCCTTAACCGGGTATTGAACTCACACTCTTTGGGTCCTGTCACTGGATCTAACAATCTACCCCAGTGAGCGAAATAAACGGCTCAGTTCGACATTCTAACCAACTGAAGAATGCCGGAGCGTACAACAACCGCATCTTGCAATAAATATGGCGACAAAGATGAGGACAATAGTCCGAAGAATGTAAATAGGATATATGTGTGTGTGTGTTTTTGTGTGTGTGCGCATGCGAGTGTGTGTGTGTGAAATTTCAGATACAGTTAAAAGTATATCATATATGTAAAATAACACTATGAATAAAGACAAAAGTAAAACTTATGTTAGCCAACGCGTTTCTTCAACTACGACTGTGATCCAAATAAGGCCTTATTTATTAAAAGAGAAGATAACATACATAGACGGACATTTTCCTGATAGTACCGCTATCGAAATTTATTGAAATATAAATCTGAGCCCAGGATTTTTTTTTTCAAATATCTCCGTTCCTGAAAGAATTACTCTTTTCCATAGTCAACATTCTTTTTGTGTGCCATGTCCTTTCAGGTTGATAGCTCTCCACTTCCTTCTATCCCTTGTCGTTCTCAATACTTTGTGTCCCTTTGCTACT